CAGCGTTGAAGCATACACTTCTACCTGGTCACTAGCTGGTCCCCAGGAAGCTGGGCCAATAGTAATCTCCATCCATCATATGTTGGCAAATGTAAAGTTAAAGCTCATACTGCTTTGTTATATGGGCAAAAAAAATCAGTAATTTACACTGAATACATTGATAATCAACTGTTTTTACAGAGAGATTAAAAACGAGCTATGTAGGGAATAGAAGCAATAATCAAGTGGTTATGATCTGGATTACTACTTTAATCTAAAACTCCTGGAAAATAATAGGAGGTTTGTGAATTAAATTTAAGTGTGAAACAAAAAGTAGAAATCATAAGGAAAACTATCAATACAGATTTAACTGTATACATCTAACTGTTAAAAATTATACACAATTTTAAAAGACAAAACTCACACGGGGTAAGAAATTTACGATATATAATATTCAGATGGTTTAATATCTTTGACAAATAAAAATGCTCTCAGTGTGGCCAGCAGGTGGTATGGTGGTTAAAACATTGGACCACTAGAGGGCTAACTGTGGCTCAAGTCCTAGACCTGGTAGTTTGAGATCAATGTAGAGTGCATGTGCGTGTGTGCTCAAAGTCCTGAGAGGAGAATGGAGGATAAAGGACTGTGGCATGCCCATCTCATCCTGGGGGTGATTTCTCACTTTCTCTCTCTCTGTCTCTGTCTGTTGTCTCCAACAAGTTCACGCACAATATGGCAAAAACCTTAAAAAAAAAAATTGCCCCTAGAGATAAACAAGACCAGACAAATACATTAATATAGGTGCACAAATTTCATGAATAAACAGAGCACCTATGAAAAGTTACAAATGGCTAACAAATGTATGGAAAAAAAAGATGCCCAATTTCATAATCAAAGAACATGCAAAAAAAATCTTATAAATAAAATTGGAAATTTTAATCAATGGTCACATCTGATATTCTTAAGGATTCATTTACATATAGTTAATAATCTTTGATGGCTTATTCTCAAATCCTTAAATTTGTGCTTCATTAAAGATAGAAATTCCTTTTATAGGGATGTAGAGCAGAGGAAAAAATAAAAAATGAGCACAAAGTTTTAGTGAGAATGACATTACTGCATTTTGTGTATACTGAAAATGGAATCATTTAAGCATAAAAGTAGTTAAATAAATTTTAGTATTAATATATTATGCAACCAGTAGTGATTGTGTTGAAGAATAATACTTTATAGCAGAGAGATAATCACTATTTACTGTAAAAATCAAAAATGCATGTTACAAAATACTGTTATAATTTGATTTTGTTTTTACGAAAATATATACAAAACAGCAGAATTCAAAAGGTACACATAAATGGTGGTTATGTCTGTAGTGAAACAGTGAATTTTGTTTGGTTAGCCTGTAATTTCTAAAATTTACACAATGACTCTGAAAAGAGTTCTTTTTTTATTTTACTTTTGTGCAAGACAGGAAACCAAATATTCCAAGGAGCTTGCACTGCCACGAGGAATAAAAAAGTGCAGTACCCCCCCCAAAACTACATCTGAAAATCAAATGTTGTAAAAGAGACCCTTCTATTTATTGTTCTTTCTCCAATTTTTTTTTAAGAACCTTAATATCCAAAAAAGTACCTCTAATTTTGACACTCAAAAGCTCAAGAGCAATGTGTTTGGAAATCTTTTATTTATTACCAGCAAAGCAAAATCTTATTTGACTGCCTGGCAAACTTCATTTTCCACTTGTATTAGGACAGATGATGGATTAGCATCTAACTTTCTCTTAATTACTCTTTAGAAGTAACGCTTTGTCTTTCTTAGCTATTGAAAATAGTATGCATCCTGACATCACGCCAGAAAACATCAGCACAAATTCAATGGCATACTTCCAGGAGCTGGATAAAACCCAATTTCCGAAGTCTTTCATCGTTTATCTCAAGGAACAGTAATTCTTACTGGGACATAGGAGAGGTGAGGCTATCAGAATTTTAAGCTCTTTCACTTTGTCAAAGGCTCTCTGATGTCTCTAGCGGGGTCTGTCTCAGTCTGTAGCCAGTGCTCCTGGGCCCCCACACATACACACACAAGTTGAGAACTTCAGTCCATCGATGTTTCTCATAAGAGCACTGCCCAGGCCAATGGCATGGAGACAAAAAACTCTGAACAAAGGCATAGAATGTCTGATTAACCCAAGGAAGAAAGACTCTTTTGACTGCAAGGCTAGCAAGAAATTTATTTCTTGGGCACAAATTTAAATGACACCTTTGAAACTAAGGCCAAGTTTCAATTCATTTTTCCCCCCCCTAGGAATTCACCAGAATGAAAATGAAACAAACAGGGTCTATTCTTCATGCTTAAGATGTAACTTTCTTCTTCATTAAATGAATGGATAAGCAAACTGTGGTACATCCATGCAAAGGAAGATTATTCAGTGCTAAAAAGAAATGAGCTAGGAGCCTACAAAAGGACCCGAGGAACAATAAGAAATTATGGAGACAGTGAAAAAGACAAGGGTTGCAAGTGAGAGAGAGAAGGGTAGATCAGTAAAATACAGGGGGTTTTCGGGCAGTGAAACTATTCTGTAAGATACCATCATGGCAGGCAGTGTCTGTATCTGACAGTTGTGTACCTGCCAGAGTACACAACACAGAAAATGAACACCTATGAACTACGGACTTTCACTAATCATAATGGATCATTATGGACTCATCAATTATAAGGAATGTATCACATTAATGCAAGATGTTAATAATAGAGATGACTGTGTAGGGTTGGGGATAGCGAGGGTGGGAGCGTATAAGAGAACTCCCAGTACTTTCCACTCAGTTTTTCTGTAAACCTAAAACTCTCCCCCCTCAGTCTATACATTTTTTAAAAACTATAAAGCTAACAATAGTAAATTAATACGTCTATATAAAGAATAAAAAAGGAACTTACTTCCGGTTCACAATTAGCCATTCCCGAATATAGGTCTGAACACAGTCCCGGACGTGAGGATCCAGTTCAACCCTAATGAGGTAGAAAATGAAATAAAAACATGTTATTACTAGGTAAAAACAACAAGATAATCCCTCATGATTTTAAATCCCTATCAGTGAGAATGCTAAAGATGTGTGTGCCCATTCATTCAAGTATCTGAAGTATTCCTAAGGCAATAACATTCTTTCTTTGATGACACAAACATCTTGGTATTTCATGCTTTGTGGCTTTTCTTTATTATAGAGAATCATGTTAAACTTATACCTATCCCTAAAGGCATTTAGACACAAGACAGGTAGAACTAGCTGTAAGCAAATTTAAAACAAGAAAAATAAGTATATATACCTATTTCTAACACGGATAATTTGGACATAGTTTTTGCTCATATATAACCTTGTTGGGACATGTAAGTTCTCCTTTTTGAAAGTCAAGCATTGTCTTACACTTTGATGAATTTGCAAGTGCTGGCTTTGGTTGGTAATTGTGGATGTGATGGTTCCTGTCGTACCTGCTCAGTATTCTGTCCTGGGAAACACTTTTCAAGTGTTTCAGAGTCTCAAAACCAGACATGACAACAGTTGCAAAGCTTTTTGCTATTGCTGGTATGATAGTACTAGAGATAAACAGGTCTAGCTTCTACAAGTCTAAATATTCTTGTTTGTAAAAAGGGGAGAACCGTCCCCACTTGAGGACCTGCCGTTGGTATTAGGTGAAATATAGTTATGGTTAGACACGTGGTCTCTGGGCCCTCCTGACTGCCCAAATCCCAGCTTCATCCCTTGTTAACTATGTGGTAATGTGCCACTCGACCCTTTTGTGCCTCAATTTCTTTGCCTTAGGTGGTGATAATATTAAGAAGCATGCCTCCTTTAGAGAAGTTTGTGTACACAGTGCTTAGAAAGGTGGCTGGAACATTGTAAGACCCAAATATGATAGTTCACCCTCATCTACCACTTATTCTGCCCTGGGCACTGACACTGTCTCTTTACAAGACTAAATTCAGTTCATTCTCCATCCGCCCCACAAGGCAGGCACTACTGGTAGCCTCATTTTGCAGAAGAATGAGCTAATAAGCATCTTGCGCCAAGTCACACAGCATGTGGCAGAGCAGGGACTTGAACCCAGGCAGCTCACCTGCAGAGTCCAGGCTTACACCCACCACATTATCACAGCTCAGCATAAAATTCTGAGCTTGGCACGGGGTGTTTGAATAGTAGTTATTTACTCTAATGATGACGATGATACCTTCCCCTACTTTGATTATACAGAAGCCCTTTTGGCAACAGTTAGAATACTAGTGGCTGCTTTCAAAGTCACCAGACGAAAATGCGCTAGCTATAGGTTCTGGTGACAAGATAATGTAACATGAAGACGATTCTAAAAAAACAAACAAACAAACAAACAAACAAACATAAAAACCTACTTCCTCTAGGCAAATTTTTAAAAATCCTCTTTCAGGGGCTAGTAGGTATGGTGGTGGTTAAGGGTGCTGAACTCCTACATGGTCGAACACGGTTCAAGTTCCAGACCTGGCAGCTTTCTCTCTCTCTCTCTCTCTCTCTCTCTCTGTTCCTCTCTGGTAAAATTTAAATAAATAAATAAATAAATAAATAGAGTTAAATAAAATAATTATTTAAAAATAAAAGTCTTCCTTCTGTGCTATAAACAGCCTCCCCACCCCATGATTCTGGCCATATTAAAAGAAACAAAATTTAGTGATTCTCCATAAAGTACTATGCATTGTCATATTAAAGTCATACCTGAATAAACTGACTGACAACAAAATAAAACATTTCCCAAGAATTACAGTGTTTTATTTTTCTAGGAAATGAGAATTTTTATACTTGATTTTAGCTAAAAGGCTGAGAAGCAAAGAAATAGGTATTTTAAAAACCTTAGAACTGTGTATAGGGCCATTTCTATGTGAATAAGAACTGTCTGAACCAGGGAGCCACAGACCATAACAATATCATGTCACTGTCATCCAGCCTCCTTCAACTGTGATGAAATAAAGTCCAAAATAGAACTAGAATGTCTCAGAGAATTGAAGGCAGAGGGGCTGTGTTTTCTGATCTCCTTTCTTGGACACTTTGAGGAAGATGAGAAGGTTGAAAATGTCCAGGAGGGTGTGAATCTTAATTTTGTTTTCAAAATAAATGCAACTAAAAGTGTATCCTAAACTTCCCAAAAGACCTTGATGTCTACACTACAGGAGCAACAGGAGTTTCATTAAGATGTAAGTCCATAGTTAGTTTGGTACCAAGAAGCCATGCCCACACCTATGAACACATACACTAACCCCTGTAGAAATTCACGCCCTACACAGCGATTGACACATTCGTCCTACAGAACTTTCCCCACGCTTTTTCCACTTGATCAAACTTTCCTGAGGTCAGAGACTATACCTTATTCATCTTTTCAACTTTGTACTCAGCACATAGCACATGCTAAATAAGTGTGGGTTGAACTTATGTGTCTAGCTTGATCCAAGCTCATATATGGCAATATTTAAAATGCTTCTGAGGGGCCAGCAGGTGGCACGGTGGCTGCGGTGCGGGACTCTCACAAGTCGGACTGAGGTTCAAGTCCTGGACCTAAAGTTTGCTTTCTCTCTCTCTCTCTCTCTCTCTCTCTGGTAAGTGCATGTGTCCTACAGAAAATTAAAAATAATAAAATAAAATAATAATAAATAAAATGAGATCATTTAAAAAATGCTTCTGAATGGAAGCATTTCAATGATTGTTATGAAAAATCTTGACATTTTACTGAGTCTTGCCCAAAGTCACTGAGCTGGGTCTGGCAGGCTGCCGCAGAGCCTTACCTCTCCTCAGGGATTCCAGTTTGTCCCACTGCATCCCCTGCACTGGCATAGTCCCCACACAGTCTTCCAAAACCTCTGACCAGACCAATCTAAAAACTATCTACATCAAAGTGGTAATACCATATGGTCAACCTGTACATCTTAATGCACTGGTTAATTTTGTTGAATATTTTTAAAGTTCAGAGGTAAAAAATCTTTCTCCTTACAATAACAGTCATGGCAGTCAGGACAACATCCACATGTTTAAGAAAAGCTATTTACCCTTCCTCCGGCAAAGAGGGCTGCAAAGTCCTACATTCCTTTGGTGTGAAGACCACGTCCAAATCGTCATCAGTGAAGTCCCCCAGCTCCTGGGCCAGCTCCACGTCGAGGCTGTTTAGGTGTGTCATCAGAAGTCCTTCAAAGTCCACCGGCTCCACTGGGTCATAAAACTGAGGCTGGAAGGGTAGGGAAAAGAAAAAGGAGGTTCCCACACGGCTTTCTGGTAAATACACAAAGGCGATCGTGCTTTGGTTGATGTTCGTCTCTCCTCCTTTTTCGACTTTAAGCACTTTGCTCTTCGTGTAAAACGAAGGGACTCTAGAGGAGCTGTCAAACACAGAAACTGTGATACAGAAAGGAAAAGAAACGCACACGGAAAGTCGTGTCATAACACGATGAGTAATTAAAATTACACCCCAAGGCAGAATTTTTCTCTGCTTGATTGCATCTTGATGAGGAATCCTGAGGAGATCCAAAAATGAGATCACAAAGCTTTGCTGAATTTTTATAATTTCTCCTGCAAAAGCTCTCTGAGGCCATGTTTTGTTTACCCACACACAGAGAAATAAGGAATGGAGGCAATTTTCCAGAAACTCAGGCAAATGCAACCCGCCTCTGGCTGAGTGTTTAGGCTCCGTGTTTCCTTTGGCCTGCGTTATCCTAGGCACTGCCTCTCAAAAGCCCTTCACACATAATCACAGCCGACAGGGAGCCAGACTCGGTGGCCGAAACGCTCCCAGGCAGTGATTTCCAAACGCCGCCGCTGGGCTCACTGCTGCTGCACTGTAAGAAATTTTCCTTGGACTGCAGCTCTATGAGCAAACCGGGGGCGATCTGCTGAGCTTTCCTATAGCAAACTTTACTGACTATAAAAGAACTATCCTTTGTTCTTTCATTTTATCCTTCCACAGTGGGAAAGGATGGGAATAAAAGAAATAATAGAAATAGATGGTAATTTATCCAATTTTATTTGATAAAATTAAAAGTTGGCAACTCTTTGTCAGTCCTGAATTAAATGGAAACTTTCCGTTTTTTTTTTTTTTTTCCTGTGAAGTCCGAAGATTTAGAACCACTGCCTTGAGGAAGTAAAAGAATCACTTCGGGACCATCTGTAGTGGCATGGTGGTGGTGGTGGTGATGCAACACTCTGTGATACTGAAGATGTGAATGTCCAGGGTATGTCCTGGGTTTGGACTCCAAGACCATCCCATATATGCTGGGCCTATGCGTGTCCATGACCCTGGTTGGCTGAGGGTGCATCAGGGTATGAAGATCCTCTTTCTCTCTGTCTTTGATTCTCATGGAAGAAAGAAACTTTTAAAATAAATGCAGATAAAGTAAACTTGTATAATAATAATATTAATAACAACTCTTAATTACGGCAAACTATTTGGAGTCATGGAAGGGGCAACTGTTTTCCTCTGCCTCCACTCCCAATGGACCAGCAAAACAAACACTCCGGGATTCTTGACTTGTACTGCCTTGACATGAGACAAGGACAGACCTAAAGAAGTGCTAACAAAACCGGTTTTTCATCTCCTTGAAACCATACACCAGGAGAGGGAAACAAGGTGTGCTGAAGAGGCAGAAGGAAAAACGATGAAAGAATATAAACGTTGTGTGCTCCGTCCCTTTTCTACCCTTGCTGTGCTGTTCTCTCTACCCTTGCTGTCTCTGATGGTGGTAGAATGACTTAAGTTGGGGAGGGCGGTGAGGATGAAACTGAGAAGTGGGCAAAACACACCCTGCTTCTGGGCTGGGATTCAACCTAGTGGTTGACTCACTAAATGCCCCATGTCAGCAGGGCAAAAGGAGGCAGTGAGAAGGCAAGAGGATGTACCTCAGCAGTTGAGAGCAAAGCAGTCTCCTAGGTCCCCATGGCTCCCAAGTGGTGTGAGAAAGGACAGAAAAGTTTCCTTTGGTTCTAACCAGGGGTCTGAAGGTCAACTAGGGAGAGAACCACAGTCCTTACAAGATTATCTCTGAAAATAAGGGACAACAGGGGCAGGAAGTGCCAGAGGTCAGCCAGTGCAGGAGCCAGGCAGGAGCTGGGATTGCAAAGGGACCCCGTTGAACTCTGCTGGAGGGAGCAACAGGCATCCTTTATGCACAGAACAAACCAATCTGCAGACGCCTACGGGAAACCAACCCCAGTGGAGAAAGCAGCCTCTCCCATGGCCCTGACTCCACCCAAACACCACACAGAAGAGAGAATTTAGTCAGGGACTGAAATGACTTTTACAGGAAATCAAGAAAGATATATTCTTGGGACCAGCAGTTAGCATAATGGCTATGTCGCTGGACTCCCATGTAGTCGACTGCAGTTTGAGTCCCGGACCTGGTGGCTTAAATTCACGCCAGGCGTGTGTGCATGCGTGCCCAAGGTCCCGAGAGGAGAATGGAGGAGAAGGGATTGCGGTATGGCCATCTGGGGGGTGATGTCTTGCTTTCTGTCTCTCTGTCTCTGTCTTTCTGGCGAGTGCACGTGCCCTATAGCAAAAAACCCTCCAAAAAAAAAAAAAAAGAAAGAAAGCTCTATTCTTTACATCGCCAATACTGTAAATTTTATCCCCATTAAGTAATGATTTAATGGAGTTAATAATTATTGAGCATTTACTGTTAGGTTGCCATGAAAGTTGTGACATTTTTCTATATTTTTCTATGCAAAAATTGCATTGTGACTTTCTCAACGACCCAATACATGCCAAGAAATTGCATCAGGTCCTTATATACATTCTCTCATTTAATCCTCACTAGAACCCAATGAGGCATGTGTTCTTATTATCTATTTTACAGATGAAGAAACTGAGGGCTAGAGATTTTTTTCTTTTTGAGAGGTTTTTGCTATAGGATGCATGCACTTGCCAGAAAGACAGAGAGAGACAGAGAGACAGAAAGCGAGAAATCACCTCCCAGGGGGGATGGCCACACCGCAATCCCTTCTCCTCCATTCTCCTCTCGGGATCTTGGGCACACATGCACACGTGCCTGGTATGAATTTAATCCACTGGGTCAGGACTCGAACTGCGGTTGACTACATGGGAGTCCAGCGATATAGGCATTACGCTAACTGCTGATCCCGAGGGCTAGAGATTTAACCATCTGCCAATGATAGCAGGAAGTAGCCCAACTGGAATTCAAACCTACACAAGTTCATGTTCTTAACCGCCATTATTTTGATAATTGGTATTCGTATAAGCTTTTCAGGAAGCCTGTATTTTTTGAAATAATTAAAACAAAAGTCAATAGTAAGTGCATTTGGAAACAAATTAAAAAAATACATTTACCAGTACCCATAAATTCTTCTCTGAGCTTTTCACGAGGTTGTCTGCTCAAAGTAATAATAAATAAATTCCTAGTAAATGCAAATTCATTCTGAGGAATATCAAAATTATTCAAGCAGAGGAACTGGAAATATACAGTTAAAAATTATACTGAAGCATAATTTGAAGCAAGGTGACAGGAGCACTAATAACTATTAAGTGGGAGTCTTACGAGAAATGACATTTGTGTGCAATATTCAGAGAGAAAAAAAATTCACTTCTAGCCAACATATAATGCTTGTCATCTCCCTAAAGTTCCAAGCCATAGATGAGGAAAGACCTGGGTGACAGGAGCATCTGTTACCTCCAGGACAGACTGTGAGGGGTGTAAAGGATGGCTGGCTTTCTCATTCGGCAAGTCTCAGCCTCACGCATGCTCAGTGCAAGTCACGAGGTGGAGACAGAGGAGTACAGGCCGCCACTCTCATGGAACGGCACTCTAATCACCATGAGGTGGGGAAGTCTGCCGCCTTCTCAGGTATACAGGACGCCATCTTTGAGGGAGGTTTTGTGTGTGTGTGTGTGTGTGTGTGTGTGTGTGTTTTAATTTGTCAGAGGGCACTTGTGCTTTGTAGAGAGTGACAGAAAGAGAGGAAAATTGAATTGAATTTGTAGAAGGAACAACTGTTCACACTATGATCCCTTCCCTTCCATTTCTCCATCCTGATGGGGTTCTGGGCACTCACACATGTGACTGGTCTGTGTTTTTCAAGTCATTGGGGTTGGGATTTGAAGCATGTAATTAAGTCGAGTTGGATCTGGCTCCCTTAACCACCAGGTCATGAGGCTGGCCCTAAAATATTTTATTTATTTAGTTAGTTAGTTAGTTAG